ATCAGAGAACACTGATACATCAGCCAGGCAGAAACACTACAATGTTTGTTCATTATATTCCACTAAACAAAGCATGAAGAAAAAAAAAAGCATCTTTTTTATTACATTAATCAATTTTAAAAAACTCAATCACTATACAGATGAAGAATCTTTCAACTGTAAACAGTTGTCAACAAATTTATAGTACCCAAACTTTTCCACCTATAAATTATGCATTCTCCCAGGTTTGCCTTTCTTCACGTGCAGTTCCATTAGTACTCCACCCACACCAAGTAAAGCGTTCAAAAGAAAACTTTTTCAATAACAAAGTAAAAGTTGTTTGATTAACTGTCAATTTGTCTGTCTGCCTGTTTTTAGTTAAGTCTGACGACTGTTGTTACATCAGTGCAGTTTTCAGATGGTATCTGTAGATCACCGTTCGTAATAATCACTGTGTTAACACAAGCATTTAATAACTAAACACCAACTTCACTCAAAACTAAAATTTTAATCGTTGAACAACAAAATTTATTCCACCTCACTATTTGAAAAATCTAAAATTCTTTTTCTTTTTCTTCTTGAGACAATGATACTTTTGCAAAAAATCTTATACTTCCTATACTCCTCTTGTTCCCGACAATATTTCCAGGATTAAATTCAGTTTACTACCGTAATGCTATTTTTTTGTCGTGCTCGATCTACTGTCATGTGCCAACTTCAGAATAAAAAATATTTTATTTTCTGTGGCAAATAAGAGAATCACAAACCGTAAAACAAACTGGGACTTTAAATACTATAGCATAAAAAGAAACCATAAAAATAAATTCATAGATCACTCAAATAAACTTCGCTGTTCCAAAACAGCAAAAATAAAATAAACAAATAAAAAATCATAGGTTTTAAAAAAATTTAAAAAATTTTGAACTTTTCACATACCCTGTAAAGTGGTGCAGCTAACACCTCATGCATCGTCAAATGCTGGCAAAGCAACTGAAGACATTTGCACACTGCTCTAAAACACAAACTATTCACAACGGTCTTCTGCAATCTAAAACCCTAAGTAACTATCACGACTTCAGCTGCTAACTGCATAAAAAAAGACCTAGCAGGAAGAAAAACACTATAAATAAAGAAAAACAATTCACTAAATAAAAAATAGTTGAAGATAAACGTTTAAAAATGTCGTACAGCAGTGACAAATGCCAATAAAAAAGTATATCGAAAATTTTTGCAGCCATTCACAAATAATTGACATCTGTTGAATCACTCCTCAACAAATATGACCATACTGACAACAACAAATTCAACAAAATAATAGCTGAAAATACATCAAACATAGGAATAGACAGCAACAATTAGGTGGTCAACGTAAAGCAACCTTAAAATTTGTCTTCGTCAAAAATTCAAGATTTCGTTTAGATTCTTGACGCCTTACAGCTGGAGACCAGCAAGATAATATAGCCGACAATAAAACATAAGTAACACTTGCAGTGGCGATGAAAATATACCAATTGGAGAAAAGATTAAGGAATGTATAGAAGAAACTTGATGTAATGAAAGCTGTACAGGACAATGTAGTACGACTGTCCACTAAACATGCTTCATAGGTTGTCGAATAGTCCAAATTATCAAGAAGTATCGACTTTGCGCTCATAGGTGGCAGTAATCTCCAAATCCGATGTTTTTTGCTCCAAACATTAATTTCAATGTATTTTGGAATCACTTCTGACCACTCCAACAGCACTACATTATGCATCACTAACGTTGAAGTCAGATGAACTTGATGATTAACCTAAACAATTGCATTGGTCAACCATTTTGGTTCAACCCCACATACACTTCAAGACCCTCAACTTTACCAGCTTTTATATTACCACCTTTACCTTTAAAAAAAAGTTGTAACAGAAAAATAAAAGCTTGCCTTGATTTCCAATTCTTTACTGGCAACACCTCGCACTGATTTTGCTCGACAAGTGTAAATGCCTTCTTGAGCGATGTTAATGTCATCAATTATCAAATCTTTAGTCTCACTAATTACGTTGTCGTCAGATGAATACCATTTCAGTTCAGGCGGTGGATTGCCGACTGCGTAACAACTAACTTTTACAGATTGCCCTTCATAAGTTTCAATCTCAGGAAATGGAGAAACAATTCTTGGTGGGCACCATCTTTCTAACCGTAGTTCGCTTTGCAACGTCGTCCGGTGTCCGATCTCATCCGTACAAAAAAGCTTATCGCTTTGAAGACCAAAATAATATTGAAGATAGTTTGGTAACCATCTAATGCTGCAATCGCATATTAGCGGATTTCCATAGAGCGTTAATGTCTCCAGCGATGGAAGCGAAGATAAATTGTGGACAGTAGACAAATTATTGTTATGAAGATACAGGGTGGTTAAATTTTGTAAGCCCCGCAAGCTTCCTGGTTCCAAAAAAGTTAATTTGGAATTATCATTCAAATAAATCCGAATCAACGAACTTCCAACCGCAAAAGCTCCCTCTTCAACAATCTCAATTTTTGTTCCTAAAAAAATTTAAATAAAATAAAAACGTTATAGTACAAAAATTTGCGCCTTTAAAGCTTTTCAAGCTAAGACCCTTCTAAAATTACCTAATCTGTAAACCTAATTCCTTAATCGTTTATCCAAAGCAAATGCTAGGGAAGATCAACAATTTTAGTACAGGGAAACTCACTGGAAAGATCAAGTTCTTGAAGGTACGGTAGTGAAGCAAAATCTCCATTACGAACTGACACCAAAGGATTATTGCTGAGATCAATAGTGGTGAGCAAGTTAATGTAGAAAAGCGCATGACTGGGAACTTGAGTTAGCCTGTTATGGGCCAGACGTAAAGATTGCAGTGATGGGCAATGGAAAAATGCGTGGCTTTCAACAGACCGAATTCTGTTGTTGCTTAAATCTAGCCTCGAAAGATTACTCAGTGCCAGTTCTCCACTGGTTATAACGGTAAATTCATTGTTTTGAAGGTAAACCTAGAATAAAAGATTAAACAATCAGTGTGCAAGAGAAAAAATACAATTAACAAACCAAGAGTAACTTTATATTGCCAAGTAAGTAAGCATAACTAACAATGAAAAAAAATGAACAACATCCTAAAATAAGAAGAGCGAAAAAATGTAACGATAAACTTGAAATTGATATCTAAAAAGAACTCATAGGCTTTTTATAGAACTAAAATGTTTTTCAACAACCATATCAGATAAAAAGTTTTTTAGATAAATCAGAAAAAAAATTTTTTTCTTTTACTTACCTCGTCCAGTTCATTAGAACCGGTTAAATCTGGCAGATCAGTCAAATAATTGCTGCTCAGGTTAAGATGCCGTAAGAACTTCAAATTTTTAAAAACCGCCGAGTCAATACCAAAAATTCTATTCTTGCTCAAATCTAAGAATCGTAAATTTTCTAACACTTTAAAATCATCGCTACGAATAGACGAAATAGAATTGTTGCTTAAATTTAGTTTACGTAACGACGGTGACTTCAGCGTCGGAACAGTTGTTAGCCGATTATCCGATATATCCATTTCCACCAGTTTAAGGATCCAAAAATTCATTTCCGGGTGTACGTATTCAATGTTGTTTCCAGCAACATTAATAATATTTATGTCCTGTGGCAGCGCTTCCGGATCCGGCATTACACTTAAGCCTTTGTATGAGCAATCCAAAACTTTCAGGTCATTACTGTTTTCATAGCAGCTACATCTTACTGGACATTCCGTATTCCAAGTAAGTACCATACGGATACAGAAAATAAGCAAGATGAAGTTAAAGTACATGGTTAACAACAATCAATAGCTGCAATACTCCAGCAACAACAGCAATGCCTTTACTCAGTACAAACACGGGCCTTTTTGACCCGGTTTCAGCAATGCAATACACCATGTCACAAATCCTCTTATATTCCTTCACATCACCCATCATGGGAGGTACACATGGTGGATGCATCTATTATATATTATATATTATATATTATATATTATATA